TGACTTGGTTGATGCCTGTCATCGATCCCAATTGCTTGGATCGATGCTCATAATGTCAATCGATTGTCTGGTCCAGGCTCAATTATTTAAAGACCGCTGTCAAATAGCTGGAATTTTGCTGAGAGCGGCGTTAAGCAACAAACCAACAACAACAGTGTAATATTCTGGTTTTTTGATTGGATCTTACAAAAAGAAACCTTTCTAAAGAAAGGTGGTATATATGTATTCATTTATATTTTTCTATTGCTTCGCTGTCATGATTTTCCAGATCTCGTGTTCTGATTCCATGACTAATCTGAAATAAGTACTGGGAGCCAGGGTCAAGGCAAAGGCCAAGTGCCTTGGAGGTGGATTAGTTGCTTGATAAGATCTCGGGGACTACTCAGGTTTTAAGAGATCCTATCTCCTCCATTCAGGATAAATATACTGATGGAAATAAATAGGGAACAAGTTGTACTGTACAGGAAGTGTTTTTATCTGTGTTTGATTGAAATGCTTCAATGGTGAAGCTTCAAATCAACATTAAAAGCGTAAGTATTGTATTGCCCGATACACTTTTAGTGTTGTTTTGTTTGTTGTGTGACGCCACAATCGTCAATATTTTAGCTATGTATGATGGCAGTCTGTAAGTGGTCAAATCTGGACCAGACAATCTAGTGATTGACATCATGAGCATAGATCAATTGGGATACAATGACATGCATCAACCAAGTCAGCTATAGCCTTACCACCTAATCACGTTAGTCGCCTCTTACAATAAGCATGGACTGCTGAAGACCAATTCTAACCCGGATCTTTATGGGTAGTGATGTCATATCAAGCATATGCTCCCTTTGTCTGTTATATCATTTATTCATCAGTATATATATATGGTAATGTATGTGAGCCAAAGAAGTTATGGGGGTAAGATTGGTTTGTGGAATGAATACTTGATCCATGTCAATGTTAAGACAAACTCAACAGTCACAAAATGGTTCCAACATTTACACATGAATTTCTTTAGGTGTGACCTAATGACTATAATAATGGTCATGTGACCTAAGCCACAGAATTCTAAGAACTTAATAATGAGGATATTTTACAGCAAAGAGGGCAAGAGTTACTTACTTACTTATATTAGGAGATTTTACGTGCGCTTTCCGACTGGAGCGTATTTCGCACACGGGCCCGGCCGGGCCATTTAGTGGTATAAAAGTGGTAGCGAGAGGAGTGCAACCAAGGAGGGGGGTTTAGTGGTTGCTTATATAAAGTTTTGAAATTTTGAGATTTGGAATACATGCCTTGGGGGAGTGGTTGGGACTAAGGGAGTGTGTGGGGGTGAGTTGATGTTTTTTGGATGTTTAGTGTTGGTGGTTTAGTGAAGTTTTAAATACGGTTAATTAGTTCTGTTTTGGTTAGGTAAATGCCTAGGGCTTTGAAGTTTTCTATTTTATTTTGGGGGTTAAGGATTGCTTCTAAGGTAAGAGCGTTATTTGGATTTAGGTTGGTTTGTAATGTTGTACGTTGTGTGAGGTAGTGGGTGCAATGTAGTAGTACGTGGTCTATTGTTTCTGGGTGAGTGCAGTGTGGGCACTTCCCGTTTGCGTGTTTTTTTAGTTTTAGAAGGTGGTTATTTAGTTTGGTGTGTCCTGTTTGGAGTTTGGTGATTATTCTATCGATTTTTTTGGAGGGATGGAGGATTTTTGGTTTGGTGAGGGGTTTTTTGAGGGTTTTTAGGATTTGGGTTTTTGTGTTTTGATAGAGGTTATGCCATTTTTGGGTGATTTTACGTTTGTTTATACTTTTGATTTCTGCTTTAGATATTGGTAGCTTAAGGCTTATGTCTGGTATTTTTAGGGATTGTTTTGCGGCTCTGTCTGCGTTTTCATTCCCGTAAATTCCTACGTGAGCTGGTATCCAGATAAGTTGTATGTTTTTGCCTGCCTCTGTTAGTTTGTTTACGCTTTTGAGAATTTGGTTTATTAATTTGGGGCGGTTTTTGGTGTTTTTGTTTTGGAGGGCCTGAAGTCCGCTTAGTGAGTCTGAGAGTATTAAGATTTTTTTTTGGTTTTTGGTGTGATGGCTGTGGAGCGCCGTGGCGATACCCATGAGCTCTGCGGTGAATATAGATTGGTTGTTTGGGAGTCGGAAGGATTGAGTATTTTTGACTGGTTGGGCTATATGGACTCCGAAACCTGTGTGATTTGTGATCGGATCAGCGGATCCGTCTGTGTATATGTGACACCAATTTGGCCATTTTTGATGGATGTAAGCTAGTGATGTGCTTTTAGCTAGGTTTGGGTCGGTTTGTTTGTTTATTGTGTTGGCTAGGGATGTGTCTATTTTGGGGATTTTAAGTTTTGGGGTGAATACGTTTGATTGTTTGCAGTTTTGTTGTTGGTTTCCTATTTGGTGTTCGTTATGGTAGTTTATTATTCGTTGGGATATTGGGGTGAGTAGAGGGTGTTTTCTAGTTAGTGCCTGGTTTTGGGGACGTATGTTTTGGTTTAGCATGTTTTGGAGAAGGGGGTTTGATTGAGATGCTGCCCAGAAGTTTAGTGTTAAGTGTTGTCTACGTAAATTTAGTGGCATTTCTCCTGTAAGGGCCTGAAGTGATGTGAGGGAGGTGCCATGTTGAGTACGTGTTACTAGTTTGAGGGCTTGATATTGTATTGAATCTAGTTTTTTGGTTAGGGTTTCGTTTAGGGTATCGTATATGGCACAGCCGTAGTCTAGTTTAGATCTGATTAGGGATGTGTAGAGGCTGAGGAGGGTATCTTTAGAGGCTCCCCAGTTGGAGCCGGTTAGGCATCTTAGTGTGTTTAGATCTTTGCTACATCTGGTGGTTAGGTTTTGGACGTGAGCATCCCAGGAGAGATGCTCGTCGAAGATTAGACCTAGGAATTTAGTTTGCTTTTGAAATATGATTGGTTTATTGTTTAGTTTGAGGAGAGGGGAGGCCCGTCTCATATTTTTGTGTTTGAATACTATTCCTGTCGTTTTTTCGGAGTTTAGGGAGAAGCCCCATTTGTCTGCCCAGTTTTGTATTTTGTTTAGGGATTTTTGTAGTAAGTCCTGAGATGTTAAGATACTTTTGGAGCGGATCCATAGGGCTCCGTCATCCGCAAATTTTGAGGTGTTTATTTTGGGGGATAAGCCATCAAATAGGTCGTTTATCATTATGTTAAAAAGTGTGGGGCTAAGAATGCTGCCTTGAGGGGTGCCGTTTTCCAGGGGACACTGCTCTGACAAGGCCTGGTCTATACCCACTGTAATTTTGCGGTTTTGGAGGAAGCTTTGGATGTAGTTTACGATTTGACCTTTAAGTCCTATTTTTTTAAGTTTTTGGATTAATCCGTTATGCCATACCATATCAAAGGCTTTAGAGAAGTCCAGAAAGATGCCTGTTGTGTATTGTTTGTTTAGTTGACCGGTTTTAATATCCTGTTCGAGACGAGCGAGAGGGCAAGAGGATTAAGCCAAACTTTTATATTGCTACTTCCGTATTCAATGCTCCGTGGCTGACACCCTTCTCCAATCGTGGTCTAGACATTGTTATACATGTCATGTGTGAATGTAGACTTTTGTCTTTATGTAATTAGGGTAGTCACTACCTGCCTGCTTGGTACACCACTAACTTTGGAGTTAGCAGACTAAGGAAGTAGGTTTTAAATTACTTTCATCAAAATTGTTTGGACTGCCAGGGGGCCCAAGCTCACTGTTCTGTCAGCACTTTGACAAGTTAAAATCTAACTTTTAGGGGTGTTCATGGTATTCTTAAAGTCTCTTCCTTGTGGTATTTGAATCTGTTGATCCTAAATCTTTAATTTTTAAGTTCCAGTGTTATGACCAGGACCTCCCCAAACACTGTTTTACTATTCTTGACTCTACACTTGGCATCGATTAGGGAAGACAGACAGAATTGTTGATTTAAGTCTCACTCATGGTACAGTTGAAAAAACATAGTATAAAATGCATGAAAAATAAAACCATGACCAATCACCCCATGACCAATCACCCAGCGATTCATGAGAGACTATATACATATATTACACCTGCTTGGCTGATGGTCAGTCCAGGTGACTGATGCAAGCTGACCAATCAGTGAGCTTGGGTGGGCAAGCTGTCGACATGAACCTCAGCTAGTGTGTGTCAACTCATCCATGCTGATTTGTCAATCACCTGGGCGCACTTCCTACATTTACTGTCTGGACAGCTGAGCAGGACCTCGTTGATAAGTCTCACCAGCACTTGGAGGCTTTTGATGATATGTTGATAGCAATGTCTCTTGCCAGTAGCACTATGTGCACTGGTAGTTGTTGATGTTAGAGCATTAGTGGTTAGGAGAACACTATGGGATGACAGTGGTGATGAACTGGAGGGTGAAACTGAAGAAGTGGGCGAGTGTTAATGATTGTGTTTGAAGGAGTCAGATTATCACACTATAGACCTCTAGTATCCTGAAGTTATCCATACTGTTATTTGGACCTGGAGGAGATGAAATCAGTGTTTTTGAAGAATTTGTAGTCACAAAGTTGTACATTTTCTTATGTATTTGAAGGAGCCAATATAACATTATTGCTGGCCCTGTTGTGTTCAGTGTTCTTACTGTTATTTGTGATCAAACAGAAATGAAATGAATTATTGAATATTTTGCTACGAGTGTCCTTTGATAAAAAATAATCTAATGATTGATGTTTCGATGTTTTCAAATGTATGCTTTGATCAGTTTTCTTTTTACTTTTCTTTGTTTTGAATATGGGGTCAATCTGTACTATAAACAACTAGCCCCGAGGCTCCAGTCTCGTAACATTTTGTTTCAGTATTGTAAACTTGGCTTGTAAGTGTTCATATATTACAACTTAAATCAACTAAAAATTATGCAGGTGGATAAAGTTCAAGCTTGTAGACTCAAAAGATGTTGGCACAAACTTGAGGGTTGTCAATCATATATTTTGGAAATGAATGTTTTGATTTCTGGAGATGCAAGTTTCTTGAACTGTTTTTCTTGTGTTTTTCAGAAGGAGCTGAGTGTGACAAGAAGGGGAAGGTAAGAAAAACCTGCAGCTTCTGCTCTCTGTCTGTGTAGTAGGTCCTGAGCAAACTGACATGAGGATTGGGTGGTTAAAATTTTGTGGCTTGGCTGATTGTAACATACCCTTGTACCCCAGACAGCCTCCGTGGTCTAGCGGTAGAACGTCCGCCCGGAGAGCGGAAGGTCCGGGGTTCGATCCCCAGCCGCGTCATACCAAAAGACGTTAAAAGATGGTATTTCTTGTTACCCTGTCTGGCCCTCGGCATTAAGCGGCTAAAACAAGGACTGGTCGGCTCGGAGTCAGCATACTGTGTCTGAGTGGAGTATTCATGTTAAACTGCAGCATGGTATCTCAGTGTGCTAGCAATATAAATTGGCATCAGTCCGGACTAGTACAAGCTGTCACACACACACATGCACGTCGCAATATAAGTGCAATCATCTTGGACGCAACGTTAAACCCCGTTTCACCTCACCCTTGTACCCCAACAGTATGGATTGTTGCTCCTGTTAACATGGTGCTGGAGTTGGTCCCTAACAACCTATGGTGGTAGTAAGAGGCGAGCTATCAAGACCATACGCAACGAGCTGTAGTGAACAAACGTAGTTCAGACATCAATGAGCTAAAGCTTTGTCCATAACAGTTACCAGGGTTAGAAATTGGCACTTGTCCTATAGTCCTTTCTAAACTGCCCAATAGTTCAGGTATCATACGGACAAGTAGAAATTTGCCATTTTTAAGGGTTTTGCTATATGTTATTATAAGGACTAGTGGACTAAAACAGTTAGTTTCTATCGCTGGTTACTAGTCAGTTATATTATACTATTGCTGTGTTCTGTGAAAAATTGCAACATTCACAAGAAAATATGGACTCATGTAAATTAAGATAACGTACAGAGTGGTTTAGAAGTTTTGTTAGGGTATGCTTAATATGGTAATAAAAGTATAATGTACTGAAATTGATGTGAAGTGCCAAATTCATGCTTGTAGACTCAGTAGTTTTAGCAGACTGTATGTGGGAATTTGACCTGCATCTACATGAACAGATATTTTGACCACTAGACTAGCTCCTGATTCTTCATTGCTGGACATTTTCAGAAAATTAACATAGAAAGTGTGATATATTGATATATAAAACTGTTTTTTTTAAATTGAATTGTACTGGCTGCTGGTTTAATTACGTGCATTGGGGAAAATGTATATGGATGAGGTTGAATTGAAAAAAACAATCTTCAGGGAGTGGGGTGAGAAAGGGAATTTATTTTATTATGTTTTGATTTGCAGTAAATTTCATTATATTGATTTCTCTTTTGGTAATGTTCTGGAATTCAGTAAAAAATAAGGCAGCGCCAAATAGATTCCACACCACCCATCACCCTTTCTGCGTCTTCTCGGGGCTGATCACGAAACCATGGAGAACAGTTGTACATTTTCCAAATGATTGGAAAAAGGATGTAAATTTGATCAGGAGGTGTGTTGTGGTGATGGTAATTTGATTTGTGGAGTCAGCTCGTTCTGCCTGATCTAGACCAGGCCTGGCTCGCGACAATCCCGTCAAGTCCAACATTGATTTTTGGAAGGGCAAATTCTCTCCAATGGTATTGATTCCAAACCAACCTGTATGGTTTTTTATCTTCTTTCTGGGGTCGCCTGACACTCAGGAAGACTCTGTCATTATTTAGGAGCCAAAAAGTATGGAACAGTTTCAGTTGACCTTGACTTGAGTTGAAGAATTTAAATGCTCAACAGTTAGGGTTGAGAAGTGGTTGAATGTGTATAATGCATATATATATATGCTCAAGAAATGTTTAAATGAAAGTGGATATTCCAGATAAGACTATGAGTCAGTATTCTCAGGGTTACTGGGGCTCTTATACGACATTGTTTGGCAAAGACTGGGTGTATATTATGTTGTTCAAGTCACGATGGACACAATTATGGCCAGGAAGATTAACTTACGTCTTTGTTAGTGCTTTATGTTGGTAATATTCAACCATAAAAGGATGTCTCTTGTCAGTGATTTTGTTGGATAATTTAAATATTACGAAATTTGCAAATTAAGAACATTCTTCTTTTCCATCACCAAATTTTGAAAATATCATGTTGGGTAACATTCAGTCAATGCCCTAGAAAATGAACCGATCTGAACCCTGCTTTTTGTTTTTGGTGATCACTTAAGAAAATTACCGTTCTTCTAGATGGAAAATTGGTCTGAGTCAAATTTTTTAATGTAATCAATAACTGATGAAATAATTGTTATATTTGGTACTGATCTTACCTCTAAATAGAATCATGAATTATCACGATTATTTATTAACGAAAATAGCTGTATGTGTGCTAATACTTATAAATTGAAAACAAGCCATTTTGGTGATAAAGAATATTAATTACAGTAATGACCAAATTTGCGCTTTGCAAGAAATATCCATTTTGCTAGCGATAAACATCACCATTGAGTTTTGATCACGTGGAGCGGTTATATGGAGCAGTGAGTTCTTCTCGAACAAGGTTAATAGCATAAACCAAGAACAAATATTATTTTAAAGCATATAGCAATCTTCAGTTTGTTCAAATACAATCTTTGTTCAGCCAAACACTTTTTAGGATGAAAGTGGAGTTTTATCATTAGAATAAAAGACCCTAGGTCATCATCCCTCTGGTAATGGCTTACCCCACATGGTGATTGCCTCTATGGCATAGTGGATAGGGCATCTGCCCAGCGAGTGGAAAATCAGTGATTCTATCCCCTGTCTGTGTCATACCAAAAGATGTGAAAAGATGGTACTTGTTGTTACCCTGCCTGGGGCTCACCATTTAGGGGACAAAACAAGGACTGGTCAGCTCGGAGTCAGTACATTATGTATGAGTTGGGTATACATGTTAAAAGCAGCATGGTATTTCAGTGGGCTCGCACTATACAATCGGCATTCGTCTAGACTAGTACAAGCATCACACTCAAACGTGCATGCACATCACTATATAAATGCTATAATCTTGAACGCGATGTTACAGTTTTTCCTCATATCTACATGGAATTAGCTGGAAGGTTTCAGCATGGAAGGTTTCAGTCTGACCCACATTACAAATTGTTAGAAGAACCTCGCCAAACTGAACATATGGATGTGCATGAATCTACCTTCTTCAGCAAATTGTATAGCAATTAGGTGTGTTCATGTGTAGATTTACGCCTTGAAGCTGCCAGAAAATGCTCGGCACAGATTCAACTCTTAGATTCATCCTTGGTATGTCGGCACCCTTCCTGTCTAAAGTCTGTGACCTTAAAACTTTGGGGGGCACGGGTGGCCCAGTCATCTAAGGCACCGTGATTCGCTGTGCAGAATTGCGTCCCTTGGCCACGCCAGAAACCTATGATTGTGGGTTCGAATCCCGGTTCGCCCCGATTATGTTTCTAGGTTTGTCAGCACCATACCCGTGCTCGTGGGTTTCATCGAAGTGGTAAACGTCTGAGACCAGCATCACTTCGGGCTTTCCTCCCACATTAAGCTGACACGCCTAGATATAACTGGAATACTCCCTTAAAACTTTGCCACCAATTACGCTGACAGGCTTTGACTAACAGAAATTGTCTTGCCTTAAAGCCTTGCACCAGCTTGCAAACTATATCAGATATTCATTGAATATTTCTTTGGTTGGCGCCTAAATGGGGAAGCAAGTTTAGAATTAAACAATGTGGTAAGTGGGTGTTACTGAGTAGATTATCGAGTGACAGACGAGTGGTTTGATGACGTTATTGCCTGCTCTTGTTAACGAGGCTGTCACTTAATGTGTTTGTCCCCAAATCGGATGGATTAGTACACGCAAGACTCGCTCAACACAATTTGTGACATTAAAATGCTTTCTTCTCTGTTGATGTACAAAGATTGGATCAATTAGATCCAGATAATTCAATAACTTACTTGATTTTTGTCTTGTCTCTTGGATTTCACTTGCTCAGGGATCTGAAATGGAAAAAAATTCTTTGAGTTTCTTTGGCCATGATACCTGATAGAATCTACTTGTCTGAAATTGCTGAAAACTGGACACATATTTAAAAAGATTTTTAATTTCTTTTCAAACCATCAGAGTCAAATCCTTATTAGCCTCTAGCTCTGCATGGCTGTTTCAGTCCCAAATCATTCAATTTTAACCTTGTGGGTAATGCAGGGCAGAATAGGCATCCAGTATCCTATGCTTATGGTAAGATTGTCAATGGAGGCTGGCCGGTCACCATGCCTAGATAGTGGTGATTGTTTCTCTTACTGTCCACGACTTGTTTGCATGAGTCCTTTTACTTACTTGCTGCCTTAAGATAGAGCCTTATTGCCTGTAAGGGAATTCTCTTTACATCAGTGTCACAAATCTTACACAGGACATAATACATAAAGGGGATTAAACGGATACATAGACATATAATATTAAGAACTTTAAGAGTTTTAAAGGTAAATGAATCAAGTGCTGTAGATATTGGGTTAAAAGGCTTATAAACACTAGGATTTATGTTTGTTTAAAAGTGACAGCTGGATTAGTTGAAGATTTGATGTAAATATTAGAGGGTGAAACGATTTAGCAAGGTCACGATACATTGGTCATGATACGATATGTATCGCAATACACATATTTACGTCAAATTACGTGGAAACGTCTTGACTTTATATTTCAAAGTATGTTTAAAAAGAACAGCTGGTTTTGGACACCTGTTCATAGTGGCTATGTTTAGTAGTGAACTTGAAACGCTGATTACAAAGCATTTTAAGATATTTGACTGACCATCACGCTGGGGTCATTAAACGAGTAGTAAGTCATTTATTTTAGCAGTAGAAAATGTATCGTGTATCGTATCGTCGCCTGAAAACTCACGATGCTACGGTGCACGATGTATCTTATCACTCTTAGTAAATATGTCTAATGCAATACATATCATATCATGACCTATGTATCGTCATAGGTATCGTGACCTTGCTGTATCGTTTCACCCCTAGTTCTTTGTGTTTTGATATTTGGATGGGGTGGTGAGGTAGCCAAGTGGTTAAAGTGTTCACTCGTCACGCTGAAGGCCCGGGTTTGATTTCCCACATGGGTACAATATGTGAAGTCAGTTCCTGGTGTCCCCTGCCATGATAATGCTGAAATATTGCTCACTCACTGATATATGGATGTGTTTTGAAAGCAAGGTGAGTCAGTAAGATTTAAGTAAATTTCCCAGTAATATGAAGATAGAACTTGACACATTGTACCCATGTGGGTGATCAAAGCCAGGTCTTCAGCGTGATGAATCGAAGCTTCAACAATGCGGCCACACCACTGTGGCCTGTCTTCTTAAGGCTAGACATTTCACATCATATGGATGTTGGGACTGTAATGGCGCCAGTAATTCACTCAGCTATTTCAAAAGCAGAACTCTTGTTGGTAACTGTTTTGTGACGTTGTGGGAATTGAGATTTAGAATTACATCTTCTTTCTTTAGCCGATGAGTGCCTCTTCTAATGAAAATAAGTTCAAGCCAATAGTTAGAAAGTTTTGAAGTTTATTGATTATTGACTAGTTGGTTCATTTATTCTCAGTATCCTTGCTCCCCACAAAACTACCGCTCCTGAAAATAGAAATCTAAGATGTAATTGGTCACACCCCAACCAAGACCCCCAGGTTTTCAACCGACTGTTTCATGTGTTGTAGACAGTGATAAACCCGCAAAAGTAATTGACGCGATTTCTTCAAAATCTAATGACACAGCTCTTGTAAGCACTATTTTCCATCTCTCTCTTTTATTGATTTCATGAAGCTGGAGGTTGTTGGGAGGACATTGTGTCAAAGACTTCCTCGGCTGGCCTCTCTGCCAATCTTTTAGAAAAACATGGGAGCCAAAGGAGAATTCTCTTTCCTCATCCTCCACTCTCACTTTTGGATTCCACTTTTTGAGTTTGAGGGATTCTGAAATTAGGCTTCTTTGTAGAGTTTGGTTGTTAATTGTTGTTGGCAGCGTGTCTCTGGAGGATAGATTTGTATTTACAATGTAGTGAAGTGTGGAGGTCATTGGCATCTGATGGAAGTTGTGCTGTTGCACTTTTATTCAATTCTAATTTTAGGTTTGTGGTTTTTATGTGTTAATTATGTCGTAACAAAGGAAGCAAATGAAATTAGATCTGTAAGTATGAGTTGAACATAAAAGAATGTGTTTTCTTCATTTCTCTTATCGTTTGCGTAAGTTGGGTACATTTACAAAATATGGAAAGAAGAAATCTGTCCTGAGGTTTATAAATGCTGCATGTCACTGTAATGCGATTGAAGAGACATTTGTAAAGAGTATGAAAGAAGTGGTTTATTTTGAGAGTTTACCGTTTCTTCCTGTGTCTGTATCCAGTGTATTCATGTACGAAATAGATTGTAGATGACAAACAGCCATTTTGATCCACTAGATCTGCATATTTTAAATAAATGTAAATGTTTCATGATTTTTAAAAATTGTTTTAAAACATAGGTGTTCATTTGAATAAGGAAAAGACTGTCATGTTTTGGATTTATGTTGACGCAAAGGGAGAGGAAAAGCTAACAAAATAATGATTTGGAAAGATTTTGTCTGGTGTTTGAAGATGAGCAAGCTGATTTTCTCTGTAAACCGATGACATCACAATGGTGTGCAGATATCGTTGTTGCGATATCTCATAGGAGCTTTGTTGGGTGTGAAAATAAATCTTGTTGGAAAATGCTACTTTTTAGGTCTTACAACTAATATATAGTATCGTTTTAATAAAAAATATTGCAAATAACCTAACTAAAAAGCCTTGAAAATGACAGTGAAGTTTAATGTTCCATATATGTGTGAAACTATTCCCCCCAAAATAGTATCTACAACTATCGTCACCATGGACTTCCTCCTTAAACTGACACCCGGTTTTATATCTGAAGCGGGGCAGTCGGGTAGCCCATGTGTTAAAACGTTTGCTCGTTAGCTCAAGACCCGGGTTCAATTCCCGATATGGTTACAATGTGTGAAGCCTATTTCTGGTGTCCCCGCAGTGATATTGCTGGGATATTGCAAAAAGCGGCGCAAAACAATACTCACTATATATCTGAAGCAGTGCTTGAAATAATTTTAGAACCCAACAACACAGTCCTGCAGGTGACCCTTTAATGTTGCCTGCCTATCTTCAAAGTTACCTTCCAGCATTCAGACATTATAAATATTGAAAAATTGCAAAAAACAACAGACAAATCGTGTCTCGATTCAGCTGAAATAAAGCAAACAATTACTTGAGAATCTACGAGGTGACAGACAGTAGGGCAGGTAGAGGAAAATTAAATGCAGCTGACAGAAAAGTTGCCAGCCCTGGGCAGGCAGGCAGTTGTTTCTGATACTGATTTCGGCCTCAAAGTTGCAACTAATTTGGTCACCATGGCTATCAAAATTTCCGTTTGGCGACCATTAATTTTTTAATCAGTCACCACTTAGCTACTAAGTAATATCATGTCACCGGCTTGATTTTTTTATAAACTGCATAGTACAGAAATAAAATGCATTACCAAATACTGATCGACCAAACTAAAATTTCATTTTAAGAAATCTAAAAATTTACATTGGAATATGTAAGATAAAAATTAATCGCTAATCTTGTTAAGTATTTACAACACTGTAAATAACAACAAAGCTTGTCACACCAAAGGTAGGAATCGGTATTGCAGCTAATTGGATATGCGTCAACAGTATTGTGCATTACGACTATAATCTTGAATCTCCTTAAATGTTTCACCTGACTTCTTGAATTTGACATTGGCTCCCTTAGAATTGTTAGTAGCCAATAGCTCCTTAGGAGCAAAATAAACTTTCGAGGCCTGTCGGAGTGTCATTAATCTCATCGAGTTCACTTATTATCTCTGTCCTTAGCAAACTTTCACTAATGCAGTATTTGGCAAGGGAAAGTGTTTGTAACAGTTTAGGATCTGACAGGTACTTGGTACTCTCAGCGACACATGCATAATGAAAACACTTGATTGTTTTCATTCCCCCTACATGCATTCCATGTGCAGCAGTGTGTGGGCAGTGGTCCAAGATGCAGTGTTCTCACCAAGGACATGCAGTAAAGGGTATATGTGTCACAGTCGCTTACATCATCGATTAAAAACATGTTTTCAAGCATTTAAGTTGTTACCAGCCCAAATTTTTGTGTGACTATCCACGACTTGAAAGAAAAAAAATCGGTCATTATCGTCTTTCTTTGATTCAGCTTGAATAACAGGCTGTTGCTTCCTCGTCAGATGGACAAATGATGAGAAAATGATTGCCAGAGAAATTATGCTCACATTTCTTTTGAAACATCTGTCAAAGTCCAAGGAGAAATAGCACCAGGGGAATGCAGCATTTTCAAACAAACCTAGCTTTGCGTAAATCGTTACTGACAGATGTGGAGTATGTGAAATCGGTGGTTATGAAAGATTTCTTTTCGGCTGTATATTGTGTCTTGTCTGTCAAGGCATCAATCCCCGCATGGGGGCTGTTTATTCTGGATTGTTGCCAGTTTCTGGAAAATAGGTTGATAGGTTAGTCGGTGTTGTCTCCCTTGGATCTGATTTGGGGAAAAGTGTATCAAGATTTTATGGTGCTTCGGGGGTTATATTTATGGAAGAAAGCCAGCAGTAGTGAATAAATGAGATATATGTGTTTATTTAAATATGAATATTTCCACAGGGATAGTAACTATAATTGAACTAGCCTACAGTTCACCTGGACCAGTGATCTGTGTATGAGTAGATATATGCAAGGAGGCAACTGGTCCTTCATGATCTGCACTTGTCTCGGACTAGCAGACAAGTGATTACATCTGACTGTTTCAAATGTTTATTTACATGAATTTAAAAATCTGACGTTTTAGTCAAATGAATTTGAAATCTTAGTGTTTGCTACATGCTGTCCAAGAAGCAAATTTGAGACCAACAAAAATTGTAGACTGAAGGCATAAATATAATTGATTACCCTGGAATTCAAAATATGACTTGCTGGATAATACCTCACTTTTGTAGTTTGAAATCTAGCATGAAAGTCTAGAGGTTCTTTTGTCAACCCTGAAGTTAATAGGTAAGAGTTTTTGGGTGCCTAGATCATGCTCATGTCAATCACTGGATTGTCTGTTCCATTATTTACAGACCACCGTCATATAGCTTCAATATTGCAACAACAAACAAACTACTCATGCTCAGAGCCCTTAAGCTTTTAGCAAGTTTACAATGTTTGACTGAAGAAAATCAACCACTGACACATTTGAAATAGTGTTTTGAAATAGTGTTTTGTATCAGTTATGTGCAGTGTACTATTTTGATTAACCCGTGAAGATTTGAGGTAGAATAGGTCTTCAGCAACCCATGCTTTCCGTAAAAGGCGACTATGCTTGTCGTAAGAGGCAACTAACGGATTCGGGTGGTCAGGCTTGCCGACTTGGTTGATGCCAATTACATGGATCGATGCTCATGATATCAGTCACTGGATTGTCTGGTCCAGATTTGTTTATTAACAGACTGCCGTCATATAGCTGGAGTATTGCTGAGTGAGGCATTTTAACAAACCAACCAACCATTTTGAATACTTTTATCGATTCAAGTACAGCTGTACTCCATGAGTCAAGGTGTAAATATTTTGTATCAATTCTCAAAATGTAAGCCTATCGGCAATTGGATATATATATGTTCAACAAAAGAACCTTTCATTTCTGTTGCATGTTATTGGCATGCTTGTGATCTTCACATTGAAACATTAAATAAACTATGAAATGCTTGTGTTTCAGTCGTAAGAAGACTGTCCATGGATCCACTACCTCGCCCACCTTACCTCAGAGATGTCCCTCGCCACAGATACTTGGTAAGTCACAGTTTGAATCAGGTTCAAATCCTACAGTCATCACGATCATGATCCTTGTTTTGTCCAAACCACAGCTATGTTTGTTGGCTTTACCAGAGTGGTTAACATGAGGACTTGCATCACTTTGGGCCTTCCTCCCCGACACATGCTGTGATAACTGAAATACTGTTCAAAATATGTTAAATCCAACTAACTCCTTCACTTGGTGCTCCGGCAAGAAAACATTTGGTGAATTGCCATGTCTTGAATCTAAATTCTTACAGATCACTATCTGATCTTAGTTAGGATGTTTTGAGATTGATGCTGGTTTGCAAACAAATCGCTCCAGATCACTGATATTGTATAGAATTATCAGCTCTGAAGAATATTTCATGTCTGCTTGTCATATGAAGGGAGGTAACTCTCCCTACCAAAACTGATCTACACTGGATATGTTTGTGACAGAAGAATGCAGCTTCGCTAAGTTTTATGTGAACCTTTACTGGCAATAAGAATATGTTAAATTTTTATTAATTGAATTTATTTGAAAAGTTAAGAATAGGTTAATGATAGAAATAATAAAAAATAAAACAAAGAATACAGGGTTTTTACCCCAAAAGTTATCTTATTTTACCCTGAAGCTAGTTATTCTTTATCATTTAATCTACTGCAACATTCATAAATAAAAACATGATAAATTTGTCAATAGTTTTATCTCTCACAACTCACATTTATTACAATGTCTGTGACTAGAGTGAGGCAATGTCCTGAATAGATCTTTCATTCTTTAGATGGCGGTTCGGTTTTACAGTATTTTGGTTTACAAAACAATGAATCTATGAGCAGAAAGATTGCCAATGGTGCCAATGACCTTGTATAGACTTAAGTAGAACGGGGTATTGATTTGTCGGAGATGGTTGAATAACAGGTACCACAGACAGGAATAGCATGTTTACTGTCATCCTGTTGTCTACCCTTTGGTTGGGCTGGGCTAAAGACAGGACAAATGGGATCCATGTGGGAAAAACAATATTGTGGTAAGAGGCAGCAGGTGGCAAACTGGTGCTCAGACTCGGCGGAACACTTATCCTTTCAGCATCTCAATGGACAGTCAGTTCCGGTATTTAACACCTTTTTGTTGGATTGATTTCACGGGACAGGTTTGGCACAACAGTGTTGTGGTTGATGCATGATGTATAAGCATTGTGTTTATTCAAGAAACTTGGATAGATTGTCAAAGAATGAATCATCAAACTGGGAAATTTGTTTGTTTGGATAATATTTTCGCTGATTTTGAGTAAGAAAAGATGGATTGATGTCACTTCCTTGCACTCTTAGGGGTTTCTATTTGTGAATTGTTCACTGACTTTTTCTTTCTTTTTTTTATGATTTCATGTCAGGTTTAAGAAGACTAAAAATTGTAATACTTGTTGATTTGCTGTCTTTGCATGTTCAGTTTACTAGTTTCTCAGAATGATGATCATGACGCTGTGGAAATAAAATGCTTCTAATAACACATAGACATATAGCTGATACAAAAAATACAACGATTTAATTATTTTTTTAGATATATAGAGACCTGACTTTTAGACCATGTCAGTTTGGTGTCCTTTTCTGAAGCGAAAAATGATTTTGTTACTCGCATAATTTATTCCAGAAGTTTGAAATAGGAACAAGGGTTTAGTTAATTTGGCATTTGCCCATAAGGAGTAAGTATTTCATTCAGTTTCCCATGTGGGTACTTTTAGAAAGTTCATGGTAGATGTCCTCTGCTCTACCTCCCTGAAATGTTGTCACAAGTGACTTAAAAGCCTTGCATCATTAAAGACTGGTCATGCCGTTAATCAGGGTCTGTGCTTTTCCAGTCAATGAGCCCATTGCTCATCTAGGACCAGGCATTATGCCATGTTTGGTAGAATACTGGATTTTCCACTCTACCTGGTGTTCACATGACAAAGGACAGACCTGTGAAGATCTGGGGTAGAGTAGGTCCCTAGCAACCCATGCTTGCCGTAAAAGGCGAGTATGATTGTCGTAAGAGGCGACTAACAGGATTGGGTGGTCAGGCTCTCTTACTTGGTTGAGGCATGTCATCGATCCCAATTACGTTTTACCCAAAACGTTATCATATTTAACCCTGAAACTAGTAATTGTTTGTCATTTAATCTTCTGCAACATTCCGAAATAAAAACATGTTAAATTTGTCAATAGTTTTATCTCTCACAGCTCACATTTGTTACAATGTCTGTGACTGGAGTGAGGGCAATGTCCTGATTAGACCTTTCATCCTTAAGATGGCGGTTCGGTTTTACAGTATTTTGTTTTACAAAACAATGAATCTATGAGCAGAAAGATTGCCAATGGTGCCAATGAACTTTTAATTAGTCAAAGAAATTAGGGTTTATTGATTCATTGAACAGTGTCAATAACTTGAAATCATGTTTATAAAGCTTGTTTGAATTCCACGATGTGTTATCTCCTGCTCAACATTTGCTAAGGACCATACCTTTGACTAAAGATGACTATTTTAGTCCTTAGCAAATGTTGAGTAGTATCTGTTTGTATGTATATAGCTTTTCATTGCTGGTAACTAACGAAGATATATGGATTAATGGCAAACATAAGATATGAGGTGTAATGCATAAAAGAAAGTGTTTATTCAAAGATTCAGACATTAAAGTATTTCATGTCTCAATGTGTGACAGGATGTTGTGATGTAATAATTTCAACACCAATCTAGACATGAGATTTCTGGCAAATTGCAAATCAATGAAATTTGCAGGGATCGATAGAGAATGCTGGGATAAAATCTTTTTAGGGGGAATATGTAGGCGTTGTGTACTTACCTGCTTGGCAGGAGGATGCAGCAGGCACGACCCACAGATCAGGATGGCGCCGATAGGATCTCAGAGCATTAAATGTGTGACAATTACTTTAAATATTCATGCTAAGACCAAAGGTGATTGTTATCCAAGATATACTCGGACAACTGCAGGCAGTGTTGAGGATATATGGCTGATATATATCATCACTGAGCCACCCATGCTGGGATTCTGCCAATGTTGCTTTTGATGATATTTGATTGAGTTAAGTCATCACCATCTTTTGCCATTGATTCAAAATCATATGCAAAATGTATATTTATAAGTATTATATTTTATATATATATTTATTTATTTTTATCTCAGATCAACTTTTAAGGCTGTTGGGAAGCATACTGTTTTATATTTTCCTTCTTAGTGTCCCTGACTTTGAGATTGGGGGAAATTCCTGGCAATGACTTAGATTCATCTGGCATAAGCCTGCATGTGATATTTCGAAGTTGGAATTCTGTGTTTTTTATGTCAGTTTTTATCCCTGACTCCATGCGGTAATTTCTGATGAAAAACAGTCTTGCTTGACAACGGTATAAGGATCTATATCAAAACATCACCTTTACAGTAATTAAAGAAGTTATCCATTAATATTATCTACTTTGTCATCTGTCAATTTGTAAGTAATGCCTATCAAACATTTCAGCATCTGATTTTGTTTATTTGTAACACAGTTTGTAAAAACACTGTTAGATTACTTCCTTTGTGTACAATCACCATGATTACTTTCACAAATTGCGCCTGTTTCTCAGTGTCTTTCTCAAATGTAAGCATGGCAGTGATAGAAAGAAAAAATGCTTCTCTCGTCTGTGTTTCATTGTCGTTCCGTCGCTATGACGATAGATCAGACTCTATGTTGCTGGTGGACTCTCTCTGGAAAAGTCTAGCTTGGCCCTCCTTGATGTGGGTTGCTGGTGGACTATCTGTGGGCAAGTCTAGCTAGGCGCTCCTTGATGTGTGTTGCTAGTGGACTCTCTCTGGAAAAGTCTAGCTAGGCGCTCCTTGATGTGTGTTGCTAGTGGACTCTCTGTGGGCAAGTCTAGCTAGGCGCTCCTTGATGTGTGTTGCGAGTGGACTCTCTGTGGGCAAGTCTAGCTAGGTCCTCCTTGATGTGTGTTGCTAGTGGACTCTCTGTGGGCAAGTCTAGCTAGGCGCTCCTTGATGTGTGTTGCTAGTGGACTCTCTGTGGGCAAGTCTAGCTTGGCACTCCTCGATGTGTGTTGCGAGTGGACTCTCTGTGGGCAAGTCTAGCTAGGTCCTCCTTGATGTGTGTTGCTAGTGGACTCTCTGTGGGCAAGTCTAGCTTGGCACTCCTCGATGTGTGTTGCTAGTGGACTCTCTCTGGAAAAGTCTAGCTAGGTCCTCCTTGATGTGTGTTGCTAGTGGACTCTCTGTGGGCAAGTCTAGCTTGGCCCTCCTCGATGTGTGTTGCGAGTGGACTCTCTGTGGGCAAGTCTAGCTAGGCCCTCCTTGATGTGTGTTGCTAGTGGACTCTCTGTGGGCAAGTCTAGCTTGGCACTCCTTGATGTGTGTTGCTAGTGGACTCTCTCTGGAAAAGTCTAGCTAGGTCCTCCTTGATGTGTGTTGCTAGTGGACTCTCTGTGGGCAAGTCTAGCTTGGCCCTCCTCGATGTGTGTTGCTAGTGGACTCTCTGTGGGCAAGTCTTACTAGGCCCTCCTCGATGTGTGTTGCTAGTGGATTGTCTGTGGACAACTCTAGCTAGGCCCTCCTGTCAGGAGTCATTGGTAATAGATTCCCCTGTGGGAGAGAACTCAGAGATCAATACAGGTGACTGGACTAGCAGGTGTTGTGATAGTCGTTTATAGGGGGTCAAAATCACAGAACTGTAGTTCAATTACTGTGTGTGAGGCCACTGACAATGACGCAGTGTATGCAAAGGTGATAAAATTACTACGTAGGTCAAAACAGCCAACTGATGAGATCTTTATGAGGTTGAGCCAGTGTATCCCTTAGCTATGTGTTAAAGGTGAACGATTAACCAATATTCTTCTACTCAACAAAATGATAGGATGGAGACACTTTTTGTGCACTTTCTTCTCATATGGTCATCTTTTCTAGAGTTGTCATTTAGACTGATGACCCTGCTTGGTTTTTTTTTGTATTTTTGTTGTTGTTGTAACTTTGAAG